AGACACCTGCAGCGCCCCCTAAAGTAAGCTCTGACCAACCTCAGGAACCCTGACCCTCGAACCTCTCTGTAACTGCAGCTAAGAATTCTGGGTACTGTAGTTGGGCTGGATTTCCACTCTCCGGGTGTTTGTACCTGACAGGTGTGGCGGTTCGGGGGCTCCTGCACGGCGCGGACGGGGAACCCTGTAGTGGACTCCTGCGGTCTGGGACCAGGTGTCTGTATCGGGGGTTGTGGCAGACCCAGCGGTGCAGAGCGTCACAGGCCTCCCGCTGCATGCCGCAGTTGGTGAAGCTGACGGCGAGCGCCATGAGGGCCGGCAGGTTGTTGGGGCGGAGCTCCAGACACCTGCAGCAGGTGAGACAGGTTAGCTGCCATGCTAGCAGCAGTGAGGGCAGGAAAGTGATTGGTTATCTCAAACAGGAAGTCTGACCTCTGCAGAGACATGATGGCGGCCTGCTCGTTCTCGTTCTCAGCCTGAGTCATTCCTAAAACCTGCCAGGCCTGAAACACACGAAGAAGAAGAGTTCAGTCACGCCGCCGTCTGTACCCGAGCGTCTGTACCCGAGGTTCAGGTTTACCTCAGAGTCCTGCGGGTCCTGTAAGATGGCGGCCTCCAGCAGCAGGACGGCGGCGTTCAGGTCGCCCTCTTTGGCTTTCTCCTGACCCTCGGCGAAGGCGCTCGGCCAGTCTCTGTACGGGTTATTGGTGTTGAAGAAATAACCCTGAAGGAAACAAACACACACACACACACACACACACACACAAACACACACACACAAACACACACACACACACACACACTGTTTTACTGACTGATTTACTGACTGATTAACTGACTGTTTTACTGACTGATTAACTGACTGTTTTACTGACTGATTTACTGACTGATTTACTGATTGTTTTACTGACTGATTTACTGATTTACTGACTGACTGTTTTACTGACTGATTTACTGACTGATTTACTGACTGATTTACTGACTGTTTTACTGACTGTTTTACTGACTGATTTACTGATTGTTTTACTGACTGATTTACTGATTGTTTTACTGACTGATTTACTGACTGATTTACTGACTGATTAACTGACTGTTTTACTGACTGATTAACTGACTGATTAACTGACTGATTTACTGACTGTTTTACTGACTGATTAACTGACTGATTTACTGATTGTTTTACTGACTGATTTACTGACTGATTTACTGATTGACTGTTTTACTGACTGTTTTACTGACTGATTTACTGACTGATTAACTGACTGTTTTACTGACTGACTGATTAACTGACTGTTTTACAGACCGGTGGACTCTCTTCAGGGTTAATTTCCTGTGAGCGCCCCCTGCTGGTGGAGTCTCTTCACTGTCTCTCCAGGCCGCTCTTCTCTCCCTGCAGCTTCACTTTAACGGTTCAATATTTCAGCAGAAGAAGAAGAAAAAGAAGAAAACCCGTCTGACAGGAGCCATCTGTTCAACCCGACACCTCAAGGACATCACCATCCAACCGCCGCTAACACACGGGTCACATGACCCCTGAAATATGACTGCAGGGCAGAAGCCCAGAGGACACCGTGTCCACGAGCTGCTGAGGAGTCAACGAGGAGACGAGGATTTGAACCACAGAGTTCAGAGGTCATCTACAGTCTGAGGCTCCATCAGGAGAACTCCACCACCACCATCCTCCTCCTCCTCCTCCATCAGAACATCAGAACCTCAGTGCTCCTCAGACTATGAAGGAGGAGCAGGATCGAACCCTCTAAAGATATTTTTATCATCCTGAAAAATGACGATTATTTTCATCCTGATTCATCTGCAGATTATTTCTCCTTCACTTAAGATTAAAAACCACAGGAATACATCAGATTAACGACGGGGAGGAGCAGAGGAGGAGGAGGAGAGGAGGAGAGGAGGGAGAGGAGAGGAGGAGAGGAGAGGAGGAGAGGGGGAGGAGAGGAGAGGAGGAGAGAGAGGAGGAGAGGAGAGAGAGGAGGAGAGAGGAGAGGAGAGGAGGGAGAGGAGAGGAGGGAGAGGAGGAGAGAGAGAGGAGGAGAGGAGGAGAGAGGAGAGGAGGGAGAGGAGGAGAGGAGAGGGAGGAGGAGAGAGGAGAGGAGGAGAGGAGAGAGAGGAGGGAGAGGAGGAGAGGAGGAGAGAGAGGAGGAGGAGAGGAGGAGAGGAGGAGAGAGAGGAGGAGAGAGGAGAGGAGGAGAGGAGGAGAGGAGAGGAGGAGAGAGAGAGAGGAGAGAGAGAGGAGGAGAGGAGAGGAGGAAAGGAGGAGGAGAGAGGAGGAGGAGAGAGAGGAGAGGAGGAGAGTAGGAGAGAGAGAGGAGGAGAGGAGCAGAGAGAGGAGGGAGAGGAGGAGGAGAGGAGAGAGGAGAGAGAGGAGAGGAGGAGAGAGGAGAGGAGGAGAGGAGGGAGAGGAGAGGAGGAGAGAGGAGAGAGGAGAGGAGGAGAGGAGAGGAGGAGAGGAGGGAGAGGAGAGGAGGAGAGAGGAGAAGAGGAGAGAGAGAGGAGAGGAGAGGAGAGAGAGGAGAGGAGGAAAGGAGGAGAGAGAAGAGGAGGGAGAGAGAGGAGAGAGGAAAAGAGAGAGCAGAGAGAGAGTAGAGAGGAGGGAGAGGAGAGGAGGAGAGAGAGAGAGGAGGAGGAGAGGAGAGGAGAGGAGAGGAGGAGAGAGAGGAGGAGAGGAGGAGAGAGAGAGAGGAGAGAGAGGAGGAGAGAGAGGAGGAGGAGAGAGAGAGGAGGAGAGGAGGAGAGAGAGGAGAGAGAGGAGGAGGAGAGGAGAGAGGAGAGAGAGGAGAGGAGGAGAGAGGAGAGGAGGAGAGGAGAGGAGAGGACGAGGGAGAGGAGAGGAGGAGAGAGGAGAGAGGAGAGGAGGAGAGGAGAGGAGGAGAGGAGGGAGAGGAGAGGAGGAGAGAGGAGGAGAGGAGGAGAGGAGAGAGAGAGGAGGAGAGAGAAAGGAGGAGAGGAGGAGAGAGGAGAGGAGAGGAGGAGAGAGAGAGGAGGAGAGAGAAAGGAGGAGAGGAGGAGAGAGGAGAGGAGAGAGAGAGGAGGAGAGAGAAAGGAGGAGAGGAGGAGAGAGGAGAGGAGAGGAGGAGAGGAGGAGAGAGGAGGGAGAGGAGAGGAGAGGAGGAGAGGAGAGAGAGAGGAGGAGAGAAGAGAGAGAGGAGGAGAGAGAGAGGAGAGGAGGAGAGAGAGAGGAGGAGAGAGAGAGACAGAGGAGAGAGGAGGAGAGAGAGGAGAGAGAGGAGGAGAGAGGAGGAGAGAGAGAGGAGGAGAGGAGGAGAGAGGAGGAGAGAGAGAGGAGGAGAGGAGGAGAGAGAGGAGGAGAGAGAGAGGAGGAGAGGAGGAGAGAGGAGGAGAGAGAGAGGAGGAGAGGAGGAGAGAGAGGAGGAGAGGAGAGGAGGAAAGGAGGAGGAGAGAGGAGGAGGAGAGAGAGGAGAGGAGGAGAGTAGGAGAGAGAGAGGAGGAGAGGAGCAGAGAGAGGAGGGAGAGGAGGAGAGAGAGGAGGGAGAGGAGAGAGAGGAGGAGAGAGAGAGGAGGAGAGGAGAGAGAGAGGAGGGAGAGGAGAGAGAGGAGAGAGAGGAAAGGAGGAGAGGAAGGAGGAGAGAGAGGGAGAGGAGGAGAGAGAGAGGAGGAGAGAGAGGAGGAGAGGAGAGGAGGAGAGAGAGGAGGAGAGAGGGAGGAGGAGAGGAGAGGAGGGACAGGAGGAGAGAGAGAGGAGGAGAGGAGAGGAGGACAGGAGGAGAGGAGAGGAGGGACAGGAGGAGAGAGAGAGGAGAGGAGGGAGAGGAAGGAGAGAGGAGAGAGGAGAGAGGAGGAGAGGAGAGGAGGGAGAGGAGAGGAGGAGAGAGAGGAGGGAGAGGAGAAGAGGAGAGGAGAGGAGAGAGAGGAGAGGAGGAGAGAGAGAGGAGGAGAGGAGGAGAGAGAGGAGAGAGAGGAGGAGGAGAGAGAGGAGGAGAGAGGAGGAGAGAGAGGAGGAGGAGAGGAGAGGAGAGGAGAGGAGGAGAGAGAGGAGGAGAGGAGAGGAGAGAGAGGAGGAGAGGAGAAGAGGAGAGAGAGAGGAGAGGAGAGGAGAGAGAGGAGAGGAGGAGAGGAGGAAAGAGAGGAGAGGAGGAGAGAGAGGAGGAGAGGAGGGAGAGGAGAGGAGGAGAGAGAGAGGAGGAGAGAGAGGAGAGAGAGGAGGAGAGGAGAGAGAGGAGGAGAGGAGGAGAGAGAGGAGGAGAGAGGAGGAGAGAGAGGAGGAGGAGAGAGAGAGGAGGAGAGGAGAGAGAGAGGAGAGAGAGGAGGAGGAGAGGAGAGAGGAGAGAGAGGAGAGGAGGAGAGAGGAGAGGAGGAGAGGAGAGGAGGAGAGGAGGGAGAGGAGAGGAGGAGAGGAGAGAGGAGAGGAGGAGAGGAGAGGAGGAGAGGAGGGAGAGGAGAGGAGGAGAGAGGAGAAGAGGAGAGAGAGAGGAGAGGAGAGGAGAGAGAGGAGAGGAGGAAAGGAGGAGAGAGAAGAGGAGGGAGAGAGAGGAGAGAGGAAAAGAGAGAGCAGAGAGAGAGTAGAGAGGAGGGAGAGGAGAGGAGGAGAGAGAGAGGAGGAGAGAGAGGAGAGAGAGGAGGAGAGGAGAGAGAGGAGGAGAGGAGGAGAGAGAGGAGGAGAGAGGAGGAGAGAGAGGAGGAGGAGAGAGAGAGGAGGAGAGGAGGAGAGAGAGGAAAGAGAGGAGGAGGAGAGGAGAGAGGAGAGAGAGGAGAGGAGGAGAGAGGAGAGGAGGAGAGGAGAGGAGGAGAGGAGGGAGAGGAGAGGAGGAGAGAGGAGAGAGGAGAGGAGGAGAGGAGAGGAGGAGAGGAGGGAGAGGAGAGGAGGAGAGAGGAGAAGAGGAGAGAGAGAGGAGAGGAGAGGAGAGAGAGGAGAGGAGGAAAGGAGGAGAGAGAAGAGGAGGGAGAGAGGAGAGAGGAAAAGAGAGAGCAGAGAGAGAGTAGAGAGGAGGGAGGAGTTAGTGAGTCTCTGATAGTCTGGATTTTCTTTGTTAATTGATTTCTCGTTAATTAAATCGTCGTTATCCTGAACTTCGTCGTTATCGATCAGATCGGGTTTCTGTGAGTCATTCTGAAGACTCGGATGTTTTCCCAGAATCCTTTGGGTGCAGGTCCAGCTGATGTTCCAGCAGAGCCTGTTTTTGTTATCTTCAGAATCAGGGGGCGGGGTTAATCTGACGTGGATTAAATTAGAAATATTATTAATGACCTGACTGACCCGAGTCTCCAAAGACCAGAACCACAGGAACATGTGTGACTGACCTGAGACCTGCTGGACCCGGGTCAGCAGATGTTTGATAACGTGTCAGTGATGTAACACCTGAGCGGAGGAGGGATTAGCCCAGATTACTGCTGATCACCTCAGGATTAATCCACAGATTAACGCTGATAAACAACAACATCTGAGGAGGAAACTACTCCACAACTTCATCTCAACCACTCCAACCAGAACCTCAGGAGGAACCAGAACCTTCTCAGGAGGAACCAGAACCTTATCAGGAGGAACCAGAACCTTATAAGAAGAAACCAGAACCTTTTCAGGAGGAACCAGAACCTTCTCAGGAGAAACCAGAACCTTTTCAGGAGGAACCAGAACCTTCTCAGGAGGAACCAGAACCTTTTAAGAAGAAACCAGAACCTTCTCAGGAGGAACCAGAACCTTTCCAAGGACAGAAACACAGAAATCTACAACAAAAATACAGACGATTCTTCCACCTGTCCTCCACCCGTCCTCCACCCGTCCTCCACCCGTCCTCCACCCGTCCTCCACCTGCTCTGATCTAAGACCAGCAGGAACTCTGGGCCCGGTCTAGTGTCTGGTATCTCCAAAAACAGGTCTGTAAGAGGCTCAAACATGACCCACAGGTTAAAGCTCAGAGACTGAGTTAGCGTGGAGAGACACCTGTCAATCAAAGAGGCCACACCCCTCATCATCCATTCATCTAAGCCTCCATCGAACATTGAAAGGTGAGTTTAGTCCTGACTCTGATCTAGGTGAGAGGCCCCGCCCTCTTTTGAACCCTTGCTGTGGTCGTGTTCTCTGTTTTTTAACATGGGGCTCTATGGGGACTGACTCACTGCAGGACGCAGCCTCTAGTGGACACTGGGAGAACTGCAGGTTCTGGTAAACTCCCATCATCCTTACCTTTCACCCTCAGAGGGTCACTGAGGTTCAGTTTGGACTCACCTTCTCCACAGGAGAGACGGAGGGCTGGACCGGACCCTGACTCTCAGACTCCTCCAGCCAGTTCCTCCGAGCGAGCTCCTCCCACTCCGCCTGCATCTTATCCCAGAACTCCGTATCCGACTGAAACACACAGAACCGAGGACACACGGCAGGTATTAAAGGGATATTCCACGGTGTCTGCTGGTCTGAGTCAGCACTCTCAGAGTCCTCCCATGACAGGAAGTCCAGGGAGGATCTTCATACTGGGGGGATCAGTTTCTGAGGATCAGCTGATCTGTGAAACCTTAAACCTCAGACTGCAGGACCAGCACTTTCCCAGGACGCAGAGACTCTGCTGGGTCATCATCTCCACTAATAACCTTCATTCATGAAACCGGGTCACAGAGGCCGTCAAGACAGGAAACAGGAAGGTCTTACCCGGGATTTTCAACGCATCCGGAACGGCGGCGATTTTTGCCGTCCGCCAATTCCTACTGGTGAAGGTGAATTTTGTGGCGGATTACAGACAACAGGAATCACGAGAACTCACGTTCAATCTCACGATAACGAGTCGTCTCTCTAAAGACAGACACATAGACATATAAGCAGTAGATTGTGTCCTTCCAGAGGAGGAAATCTACTTCTAGACTTCTAGAATCAGCATCTCCTCATCCATGGTGTCATCGGGGTGAAATGACGTCTAAAAACCTTTCACTTGTTTGTCGTTCGTGTTTTATTTTGAAAAGAAGCCGGATGTTTTATTTTGTGTCTGTGCCCGACTTCCTTTCCAGCACGGGTTAATCTGTGCTGAATTTATCCACCATGCTCCGGCGTCCAGAAAAAATAGAACTCTTGTGATCAGCTGAGGAGTCCGGCGATCCTCAGAGGAACGGAAAGAAGTCGGTGTAAATTGACACGTTAACTTGAATGGTTACGATCAGCTACGATCGGAGGATACAATAGATGAGGAGTTTTCAGAGCTGCCAAACACGCTGAGCTAACCTACAGGAGTCCTGGACTGACAGGGTCAAAGGTCAACCAAAGATAACAGGTGTGACTTCATTAGAACGACGACGACGACGACCTCGGACTTCAGAGAGTTTCTGTTTCTAAAGTCAGAACATCTTAACAGGGACACTCTCAGGTGTGTGTGTGTGTGTGTGTGAGTGTGTGTGTGTGTGTGTGTGTGTGTGTGTGTGTGTGTGTGTGTGTGTGTGTGTGTGTGTGTGTGTGTGTGTGTGAATACCTCCACAGCAGCCTTCGCTCTGACAAACTCGTCCTCCAGAGATTCCTTTCTGGCCAGAAGGGAGCGAGTCCGTCTGCGCTGCCTGGACGCCCCACAGTCCTGACAACACACACACACACACACACACACACACACACACACACACACAGAGGAAGGTCAGCCAGCAGCTGTCAGTAAAATAAACTCACTGAGTCGAACAAACTTGAGCAGAAAGTCAAAGTTTGATGTAAAGAGACGTTCACAGACCTGAAACTGTTTTATCCCACACTCCCTGAACTACTCACTGAGTCTGTCTGTCTTTAGACTCCAGACTAAAATCAGACACTCTGAATATGTCGACTGTAGAGGTCTGAGTATTAAATTCTTTATCTGTAGATATAAAAGAATGAAGAGGTGGTTCACTATGAAGGTCCTTCACTGTCCAACACTGACTCTTCAGAGACCTGCTGTTCACACGCTCACCTCCACCTGGATCAGACATGATAAGCTCCGCCCCCTAAATCCCCCCTGTATCTGACTGTATCTGACTGTATCTGACTGTATCTTGGCCTCAGTCTTGTGTATCTGACTGTATTTTGGCGTCAGTCTTGTATCTGACTGTATCTGACTGTATCTGACTGTATCTTGTGTATCTGACTGTATCTTGGCGTCAGTCTTGTATCTGACTGTATCTTGTGTATCTGACTGTATCTGACTGTATCTTGTGTATCTGACTGTATCTGACTGTATCTTGTGTATCTGACTGTATCTTGGCGTCAGTCTTGTATCTGACTGTATCTTGTGTATCTGACTGTATCTGACTGTATCTTGTGTATCTGACTGTATCTGACTGTATCTTGTGTATCTGACTGTATCTGACTGTATCTTGTGAATCTGACTGTATCTGACTGTATCTTGGCGTCAGTCCTGTATCTTGTGTATCTGACTGTATCTTGGCGTCAGTCTTGTATCTGACTGTATCTTGTGTATCTGACTGTATCTGACTGTATCTTGTGTATCTGACTGTATCTTGTGTATCTGACTGTATCTTGTGTATCTGACTGTATCTGACTGTATCTTGTGTATCTGACTGTATCTTGTGTATCTGACTGTATCTTGTGTATCTTGTGTATCTGACTGTATCTTGTGTATCTGACTGTATCTGACTGTATCTGACTGTATCTTGTCCTCAGTGTTGTGTATCTGACTGTATCTTGTGTATCTGACTGTATCTGACTGTATCTTGTGTATCTGACTGTATCTTGTGTATCTGACTGTATCTGACTGTATCTGACTGTATCTTGTCCTCAGTGTTGTGTATCTGACTGTATCTTGTGTATCTGACTGTATCTGACTGTATCTTGTGTATCTGACTGTATCTGACTGTATCTGACTGTATCTTGGTGTCAGTCTTGTGTATCTGACTGTATCTTGTGTATCTGACTGTATCTGACTGTATCTGACTGTATCTTGTGTATCTGACTGTATCTGACTGTATCTTGTGTATCTGACTGTATCTTGTGTATCTGACTGTATCTGACTGTATCTTGTGTATCTGACTGTATCTGACTGTATCTTGTCCTCAGTGTTGTGTATCTGACTGTATCTTGTCCTCTGCGTCTCTCCAGAGACTCCGGCTGACCTGTGTTGTCGGGGGCGTTGTGAAGTCCAGATCGTCGAAGCTGTGGATGTCGAAGGCGGTCTTGCTCAGAGGGTCGGTTTTAAACTCTGCAGACCTGAAAACACCAAAGACAGACCCCTTAGAGAAGCTGTGTTAGCGCCCCCCAGAGGCTGCAGAGTTCAGGACAGATCTGATCCCGGTCTAAGATCTGGACCAGTCGGCTCACAGAGACATTTACCACAGCAGCTCGCTGGAGGAGTGGTGGGAGGTGCATCTCTTCTCGTGGCGTCTGCGTCCTCCGTCCTCCACGTCCAGGTTCACGTCCTCCCATTTATCCAGAGGAGAGGACAGGCTGACTGAGAACAGAACAGGACTGATCAGAACCAGAACCTGAGAGACTCCAGATTAACAACCAAGGAGACACAGAGGTCAAACAGGAAGTTCACCTCCTATCAGAGTAAAAGCCCAGATTAAATCCAGCCTCTTTATTTAGACCCTCCACTCAGAGGATCAGAGCTTTTAACCAAATGAACCAGGAGAGGAAGCTAAAAACAGCTGATCAGGATTTCTGAGTTTTAATCCCTCTGAAATTTGGTGATGAGGACGAGACGTTTCAGTTATACTGTCAGGTTAGAGACGATGTCCAGTTTGACGATGAAAGGACGACTGGACCTTAGGAGAAACGTCTCGACTAAGTCCAGTCGTCCTTCCATCGTAGAATTAGAAATCATTCAGTCCGTTTCCATGACACTCGAGAAAACCGAATTATCGCCGTACGATCGGAGGATACGACCTTTTAGTCGACGATCAGGATGAAGGTGGAGATTAACCTCCACACCACCGACGTTTTCCTAACGCCAGTGTTGTGGTTGACATTGATGTGGTCATCTGTTGAGCCTTCATGGTCATTTCTGTCGGGGGTAGCACTCATTTTCTTTGTTTCTCACCAACAGTGCTGTCGGCTTCACCTGTTAAAGTGCTATGGTTGGGTGGAGCTGCTGTCTGCTACGACTTTGCTGCAGTTGGTTGATACTTGGTTCTAATTCAGAACATGATTGGTTCAGACCCGGAGACACGCCCCTTTTCATTGGCTGTTCGTATCAATATTGAAAAGGATATTGATCATGTTTTATATTGATATTTAGGGTTAGTTTTAAGTTAATTTTGGATAAATATCGTTTTATGGTTTTATGGTCCCGCTCCGGTTCACAGTCGGTGGTTCTGAAGTGGTTCTGAGTCCCACTCCAGAGTCCGGTCTGTTTTTTATGTCTGAGGAGGTTTTTGGTAAATTTAAAGGTCGTGATCCTGGATTTGAGATCCTGTACCTGAGTCCAGGGAGATCCTCTCAGGTGTTCTGGGACTGGGGGGCAGGTGGTCCACCTCCACCTGGATCAGCTCCGTCTCATCAGGTCTGGTCTTTCGTCGTGGACTCTTGGAGCTGCCCTTCCTCCTCAGAGGACTCCTCCTCTGCTCCTTGTTCCCGATGCTGACCCCCACACTGTGACCCCCCACACTGTGACCCCCCACACTGTGACCCCCCACACTGTGACCCCCCACACTGCCTCCATTACTGCCCCCGCTGCTCTCCCCCGGATCACTGAGGTCCACCAGGTCCAGGGCTGTGGACAGGACTGACACACAACAGGAAGAGGGTTAGACTCGGGACTTCAGGACCCATGAGGTCTGACACACATCAACAACACAAACAGGTCTCCTGGAGGACTCCTGGAGGACCTCAGGACCTCCTCTCCTGGATCAACAGGAGCTCAGGTCCAAACAGATCATGGACTACAGGATCTGAAGGTCCTGGTGGAGGACTGAGATCCCCTTCACCTCTAAGACCTTTTAAACTAAAGTCCCAGACCCAGAGTCCAGGGAGTAAAACCTGAACCTGGACTAGTTTGGTTTGGAGGAAATCCTCCTAAACAGGGAGTCCTTGACCCCGTCCCGGTCTGATCCGGTCCCTGTGGTCTTAGTGGAGGACTGCAGGTCTAAAGAGTCCTCCAGTCTGGATTGATTGGATATATTCTGGTCCGGGTTCTGGAGGTTTTGTTAGACCGGGTCGATGAAGATTCGATTACATCTTCATTTTCAGGAGTCCGGTTCTGTCCTGGACTCAGCTGACCCACAGAGTCCTCTAAAGGACTTTGAAACGGGACACCAGAGTCTGGACCTCCGAGAAACTTCAGCTGCTGTCTCCTCTTCAACGAAAAGACAGAAACAAACGAACCGAGGAGGAGGAGAGGAGGAGGAGAGGAGGAGAGGAGAGGAGGAGGAGGAGAGGAGGAGGAGAGGAGGAGGAGAGGAGGAGGAGAGGAGGAGGAGAGGAGGAGAGGAGGAGAGGAGGAGACAGGAGGAGAGGAGGAGGAGAGGAGAGGAGGAGAGGAGGAGAGGAGGAGAGGAGACAGGAGGAGGAGAGGAGGAGAGGAGGAGACAGGAGGAGGAGAGGAGGAGAGGAGAGGAGGAGAGGAGGAGAGGAGGAGAGGAGGAGAGGAGGAGAGGAGGAGGAGGAGAGGAGGGAGACAGGAGGAGGAGGAGAGGAGGAGAGGAGGAGAGGAGAGGAGAGGAGAGGAGGAGGAGGAGGAGAGGAGGAGAGGAGGAGAGAGAGAGGAGAGGAGACAGGAGGAGGACACAGCAGGTCAGAGGTGTTAATTAAAGACCCGAGGACCTGCTGAGAGGACAGGGGACAGATGGGCCGAGAGGGGGACCGAGGACGGACAAGGACACCGAGACAGAGGAGGACGGGGAGGGAGGGAGGGAGAGGGAGAGAGAGAGAGGGAGAGAGAGAGAGAGAGGGAGAGGGGGATGGGGAAGGAAGGAGGGAGAGCGAGAGAGGAGGAAACCGAGAGAAAACAGGGAGCTGAGAGGAGGAAGTATGGTTAAGAAAGTAAAAGTTTGAGGAGCATCAGTAAGAATAAATGATGAGGAGGTCAGAGAGACGAACGAGTCTGAAGAAGAAGAATGAAGATCAGAGTCAGAGGGACTGAAATAGACCAGATCAGAGGATCCAACCTTCACTGACCCGGGTCTGTGAGTTTACAGGTGAGAGGGGAAGACAAGATCTCTGAGGAGGAGGAGAGGAGGAGGACAGAGAGAGGAGGAGGTAAAGAGCGGGACGGGGAGGCTGAGGCCTGAGGAGGACATGATTGATGGAGGTCTACCTGCTGTGTTGGAGGCGAGGGGTCGGGTGGAGGGGGCGTCGCTCCGGCTCTCCGACAGGAAGTCATCGATGGAGGGACTCAGCAAGGGTCGACTCTCCTGCTGCTCCCGGACCAGCTGGAGGCGAGGAGGAGGAGAAACAGGAAGTGAGGACTGAGGCGCAGCGTCAAAATAAAGCACACAGAAGAAGAAGAAGAAGAAGAAGAAGAAGAAGAAGAAGAAGAAGAAGGAGAAGAAGTAGAAGAAGGAGAAGAAGAAGAAGAAGAAGAAGAAGAAGAAGAAGAAGAAGAAGAAGAAGAAGAAGAAGAAGAAAAAGAAGAAGAAGAAGAAGAAGAAGAAGAAGAGGTAGAACAGCTTCAACGATTCAATCAGAAAACAGGAAGTGCTGCGTTTCTGAACGTCACTGACTCTTTATCGCACCCTGGTGTCTCTGAGCTGCACTCCTCCAACGCTCTTCTTCTTCTTCTGCAGTTTTTCAAACTCTGCTCCTAACCTTCTCTCATGCGATGTTTACTGCGCTCTCTCTGTCACGCTCACTTTTAGGACTTTCAGGTTTTGTCGTTTTTTCTTTGTCGTTATTTTGTCGATCTGACCTCTGACCTCACTCTCACAAACATGAGTCAGCTCGATGTTTACAAACAACAACAAATAAACAGGAAGCATGACTGGAGGGAGGAAGCTCCTTATATGGGCGGAGGTTCTCTCCTCTGCAGAAGAGCATGATGGGAGGATAATGAAGGGATTCTGAGTGACTCACTAACAGGATTCAATCCTGCTCATCATCATCCTCATCATCATCATCATCTTCATCATCATCTTCATCATCTTCATCATCATCTTCATCATCTTCATCATCTTCATCATCATCTTCTCAGGTCTACAGAGTCTCTCTGTTTGTTTGTTTGGAGCAGCTCCAGGATTTTAACTTCAATCTATTCATGAACTTCTGCTGCTGCTGTAACAACCTCTAATTCATCAACCGAGGAGGACTGAGGAGGACTGAGGAGGACTGAGGAGGACCGAGGAGGACTGAGGAGGACCGAGGAGGACTTAGGAGGACTGAGGAGGACTGAGGAGGACCGAGGAGGACTGAGGACTGAGGAGGACTAAGGAGGACTGAGGAGGACTGAGGAGGACTGAGGAGGACTGAGGAGGACTAAGGAGGACTGAGGAGGACTGAGGAGGACTGAGGAGGACTGAGGACTGAGGAGGACTGAGGAGGACCGAGGAGGACTGAGGACTGAGGAGGACTGAGGAGGACCGAGGAGGGCTGAGGAGGACTGAGGAGGACTGAGGAGGACTAAGGAGGACTGAGGAGGACTGAGGACCGAGGAGGACTGAGGAGGACTGAGGAGGACTGAGGAGGACCGAGGAGGACTGAGGAGGACTGAGGAGGACCGAGGAGGGCTGAGGAGGACTGAGGAGGACTGAGGACTGAGGACTGAGGAGGACTGAGGACTGAGGAGGACTGAGGAGGACTGAGGAGGACTAAGGAGGACTGAGGAGGACTAAGGAGGACTGAGGAGGACTGAGGAGGACTGAGGAGGACTAAGGAGGACTGAGGAGGACTGAGAAGGACTGAGGAGGACTGAGGACTGAGGAGGACTGAGGAGGACTGAGGAGGACTGAGGAGGACTAAGGAGGACTAAGGAGGACTGAGGAGGACTGAGGAGGACTGAGGAGGAATGAGGAGGAATGAGGAGGACTGAGGAGGACTGAGGAGGACTGAGGACTGAGGAGGACTGAGGAGGACCGAGGAGGGCTGAGGAGGACCGAGGAGGACTGAGGACTGAGGAGGACTGAGGAGGACTGAGGAGGACTGAGGACTGAGGACTGAGGAGGACTGAGGACTGAGGAGGACTGAGGAGGACTGAGGAGGACTGAGGAGGACCGAGGAGGACTGAGGACTGAGGAGGACTGAGGAGGACTGAGGAGGACTGAGGACTGAGGACTGAGGAGGACTGAGGACTGAGGAGGACTGAGGAGGACTGAGGAGGACTAAGGAGGACTGAGGAGGACTGAGGAGGACTGAGGAGGACTGAGGAGGACTGAGGACTGAGGAGGACTAAGGAGGACTGAGGAGGACTGAGGAGGACTGAGGAGGACTAAGGAGGACTGAGGAGGACTGAGGAGGACTGAGGACTGAGGACTGAGGAGGACTGAGGACTGAGGAGGACTGAGGAGGACTGAGGAGGACTAAGGAGGACTGAGGAGGACTGAGGAGGACTGAGGAGGACTAAGGAGGACTGAGGAGGACTGAGAAGGACTGAGGAGGACTGAGGACTGAGGAGGACTGAGGAGGACTGAGGAGGACCGAGGAGGACTGAGGACTGAGGAGGACTGAGGAGGACCGAGGAGGGCTGAGGAGGACTGAGGAGGACTGAGGAGGACTAAGGAGGACTGAGGAGGACTGAGGACCGAGGAGGACTGAGGAGGACTGAGGAGGACTGAGGAGGACCGAGGAGGACTGAGGACTGAGGAGGACTGAGGAGGACCGAGGAGGGCTGAGGAGGACTGAGGAGGACTGAGGACTGAGGACTGAGGAGGACTGAGGAGGACTGAGGAGGACTGAGGAGGACCGAGGAGGGCTGAGGAGGACTGAGGAGGACTGAGGACTGAGGACTGAGGAGGACTGAGGAGGACTGAGGAGGACTGAGGAGGACTGAGGAGGGCTGAGGAGGACTGAGGAGGACTGAGGACTGAGGACTGAGGAGGACTGAGGAGGACTGAGGAGGACTAAGGAGGACCGAGGAGGACTGAGGAGTTTCTGCTCTGTCTGGATCAGAGGAAGAACCGCAGAGACAGGAACCGGGTTCTGGAGAGACTGAAGGACCTGCAGAGTTCAGAGTTTGACTCTGAGTCCACATCAGCGGAACATCTAAAGATCTTCATCAAACAGCTGATCCAGGACTCGGACCTCCACCCCTCCAGGACAGGTTCTCAACAACATCCAAACCCAGCTAACCTCGTCAATAACATGAGTGTGATCATTACACTGAGATCATCGTTACCATGACAACGGACCGTCAACAAAGTCCAGTCTGAGAGTCTCTGACTGTGTCCTACATGACCCCTGACCCCAAATGTGGTCTCTGTCGTGAAGCTCAAACGCAAGGCGCAATGCATGATGGGACGCCCACCACCGGTGAGTGACCATTGGATGGTCACTGCAATTCTTCATGCCTACAGAGGAGTCAGGGATCCATTTAGGACACAGACGTTATCTTAATACGGGGGCGGGGCTGAGGGAGGAGGAGCTGAGGTGGAGGCGGGTCTTAAAGCGGTTAGCAGAGGAGGCGAAATGAACATCCATCAGCTGATTGGCTGATTGGTGATCAGCTGATTCAGGCTGGTGTTTGTGGACGTTCGGAGACACTGAACAGTTCCTGATGCTGCGTCTGAGTTTCCTCGGAGGTCGGAGGTCGGAGCTGAAAACGACGTCACGCCTGAGTTCCCAGCGTAGATGGTTACGTCTGCGAAAGTTAATTTAGCGTTTCCTTTATCCTCTGACAGGCCGAGCGCTAAAGTAACTGTTGTAGACGTAACCATCTTGTTCCTCCTCCGATTTCGCTTTTTTCCGACTTGGTAACTCGGGTGTGACGTCGTTTTCAGCTCCGACCTCCGACCTCCGAGGAAACTCGGACGCAGCATCAGTTCGGATCAGGACCTGTGACCTTTAACCTTTGAATGAATGAGTCCCTCTAACAGCTAATCACTGCCTGGTGTCACAGAAAGGCATTCTGGGAAATGTAGTAAGAAGTCAAAGCTGTGAGAGGTGGTGTCTGAGGCCTGATTTAACCTGATAGCAGATCTGTGTGTGTGTGCGTGTGTGTGTGTGTGTGTGTGTGTGTGTGTGTGTGTGTGTGTGTGTGTGTGTGTGTGTGTGTGTGTGTGTGTCTAATCCTAATCCACACAGCCGTGTCCGCCGCCCACACGGCGGCTGGAATATGTTTAATCCTGACAAAGAGCGCAGCAGCAGCAGCAGCAGCAGCAGATCCTCCGCCGCTTAAAAAAACATCCGCCTTAAACGTCACGCCATGTTTGGGCTGAGCGGACAGAAACGGCGGCGCGGAGGTCAGACAGGAGGAGGGGAACGAAAACACAGAGAGGGGGAGGAGTCAGACGACCCGGACACAAAGATGGAGGAGGACACCTGGATGACCTGATCTTTGAGGGTCCAGGTGGACAAACACAAAGTGGAGGATGGAGATCAGGCAGGAAGGAAGAAAGAAAAGGGCGGAGCAAAGAAAAGAGAGGAGAACAACAAGCATGGTCGTCATGCCAACCTTGGTTGTCACGGTGAGGAGGGGGTTTCCTTCTGAGGAGGCCTTTTTACCAGGAAGCTCCTTCAGCACCATGGCAACGACACTTTCCCCTTTCCCCTACAACAGGCAGATTGACAGGATGTTTACATTCAGGCAGCCAACACCCTTTCAAAACAAAGCTCCAATCTCACTCTTATTTTGAAACAGGATGTCAGCATTTCTGAGAGGAGAACTGGAACATGTGAGGATGAGGACGGAGACATGAGGAAGGAGACATGAGGACGGAGACATGAGGACGGAGACAAGGATGAGAAAAGAAACACACGAGCCCAACGTGAAGACGAGTTCGACTGACGAGGGGTTCACGTCACGACGGTTTAAAAGAGTTTCAAAGAGATTTTAGTGATTTTTAAAACCATTTTTATCAAACAGAGCAAAGAAAAAAACACTGAGACTGAAAAAGCTTCTTCATCTTAAAGCTGATCTCACAGCATCTAGGATTTCTAGTTCTTTGTTGAAAGGACAACTGGACTCACTCAGTCCAAACGTCTCCACTTAGTCCAGTTGTCCTTTCCATGAGTCCTGTCTGTTTTTAACGCCCTGAAGATCAGGACCATCCAGTCCTGGTTCTGGTCCTGGTCCCCCTTTAGAACAGAGGTTTCTCCAGATCCTCTGTAGACGATGAAGTCCACTCAGGAACTTGATTCTGAAACTCAGGCGGTCTCTCTCAGAGTCCTGAACCGGGTCGTAAAGGGGGGCGGTACATTTCCAGGAACTTAAGTTAAACTGGAGAGTTTAGGAAATTTTCCAAACTGGAAACTTTTTGTGGGAATTACTGGGATTTAACTGTAAATTGGTGTTAATTTAAAGAAACTTTATCGTCTTTAAACATAAATGTAAATATTTTATCTGGTGTAAATTCTTCCACAGGTCAGACGGTGAACGTGACGTTTTTCTGTTGAATAAAATAAGTAAAAAAAGTTTGTAAAAACACAAAAAAACAAAAACATGAACAGAAATATAGTCGGATAAATAACTGGAACGATCTTTAAAATATTTAATAATCGATGTCTAAATGATTGTTTTAGTTACAGAAAACCGTCTGAAGAAACAGGATCTGAAGAAACGACCACCTGAATAAACTCGCCCCTTTAATGGTCGATGAAATAAAAATAACATTTAACAGCTGTTTTTATTGAAATATTAACACTATCACAGATCAAATCTGTTGACCCTATAATATCATCAGAGCCTGACTCTCTACAGTCGTGGGTTTAAATGTCTGCAGGCTCTAAAGTTTGGCCTCCAGGGTTCAAGGAAATCTGGTTGTTTTAGTCAAGATTAAAAAACAAGATCTTTCACCGACTACATTAAAGTTCCTGTTGAGGGTCGACAGTTTTAGACGGTTCAGATTTTTTCTCGTTAATTCTCACGAAAGTTTCCGACTTTGAACATCCTCAGAATTTTGCAGCCCTGGTCCTGGACCTCCTCCGTGACCTCCTCAGGTGGAACTTCTCACCTGTTTGGTTTTTATTGTCTTTGTTCTGTTTCTGACTGAATAGACTTTAAACATAGATGTCTCTCATGTCTCTGTGGAGTTTAAAAGACAAACAGAGAGACGATGACAGAGACGTGTCTGAAACATTGACGTGTTTATAAAGACAGATGTTTGAAGAGCTTAAATACCGATCTGAACGAGAGCTCACAGTCTAGAGACGAGGATCTAGATCCAACCCTCAACAAAATCCACGTCATGGAGCAGACCACGAAATATCCTCATTATAAAAAATCTATTTACAGGAACTAGATTCAAAATCCTGATCTGAAGTTTTTCTGCATGGATCTGGACGAATGTACGACCTTTGACCTCCGGGGCGGGGCTGTACTGTCCCTTTAAACTGCAGATAAACTCACGCCCCTCTGAGCGGATCTGCTCTGACAGCAGAGAGCACTTAGCGCTGTGACGGTGAACCCACAGAGGAGACCCTGACCCTGTCACCATGGATACTGACCGCAGACCTAGATCTAGATTTAAGGATCTGAGCACAAGAATCCAGTCTACGTACGTACAGAGGTCCAAATCCACATCCCCAATCTGGACTTCAAGATATCAGAGTCTAGATCCAGGAGGATGATCCAGGACGGAAAGGATCCACTTTAAGAGGTCTCTATTAACGAAGACTGGTCTATGATCTGGATTAGGAATCTCCTATAGATGTCTCTGGATCACGTAGATACACAAATCTAGATAAACAAACATTCAGCTGAAGATCTGATCCAAGAACTGGAGTTTAGACCTGAAACAACCAAGACATGAGGAGCTCAGAGGTCCAGATACAGGGTTTGGGTTAAAAGTTCTGGATCTAGATCCAAGAGATCTAGATGTATAATTAATACTTCTACTAGAGCAGAGCTGGAGCTCAAGAGTTCGAACACAGAGGTCATCTGAGCGAGAACATCCAGAACCTTCCTCTACCCTCACACCTGTCAGAGCAGAGCACAGGTGAGAGCAAACACCTGAACCTCCTGCTGAGTCCTGGCAGAGCTGAGAGAGAGAGAGAGAGAGAGAGGGAGAGAGGGAGAGGGAGAGAGAGGGGGGGAGAGAGAGAGAGGGAGGGAGAGGGAGAGAGAGGGAGAGAGAGAGAGAGAGAGAGAGAGAGAGAGAGAGAGAGAGGAGAGAGAGGGAGGTGGGGGGCTGAGAGAGAGAGAGAGGTGGGGGGCTGAGAGAGAGAGAGAGGTGGGGGGCTGAGAGAGCGCAGCATGCAGCAGCAGCAGCAGCAGCAGCAGGAGGAGTTTATCAATAAAACATCAGCCTCTGTGTTATTATTAGATATACAGACATGATGATGATGGAGGAGGAGGAGGTGGAGGAGGAGGAGGAGAGCTGCTCTAACATCTCTAAATCTGCTCCTCCTTCAGCAGGACCGACCCGGTCCACATCAGTCCCCAGGACTCTGTCTGAGTCTGCTGTCAGTGAGCAGGTCCTCTGAGGGGAACCAGACCTCAAACCTGCAGAGCTGAAACTTTTCATCAACTGTTGTGATGAAAACCTGCAGTTCCTCCACCGTCCACCAGGGGCTGTGTCCTGCAGTGTTTAACTTTGCAGCAGAAACGAACTCGTTTACAGGAGGATAGTTCAGTAGAGGTACGACTTCTACAAACACACACTTCTTATTGAAACAGTGAAAAAACACAACAGTGTTTATTTGAAGAAGAAACTCCTAAAACTGATATAAACTCATAGTTTTTTTTAAAGACACACAGGATTTTAAGTCTCCACATCGACGGTTTGTCTTCAGACTTTCACATGTGCTAAAGGTGTCCTACAGGGGGCGACACTTTGTCCTCTGACTTACAGGATTCTAATCAATGACTTATGTTTCAGTGTTACTGGTTCACAGTATAACTGAGGCATGAATACAGGCGACTGTACGACAGTTTGACTGTTTGACTGTTTGACTGTATGACTGTTTGACTGTACGACTGTTTGACTGTTTGACTGTTTGACTGTACGACTGTTTGACTGTATGAGTGTATGACTGTTTGACTGTTTGACTGTTTGACTGTATGACTGTACGACTGTACGACTGTTTGACTGTACGACTGTATGACTGTACGACTGTTTGACTGTATGACTGTTTGACTGTATGACTGTTTGACTGTTTGACTGTTTGACTGAACGACTGTATGACTGTTTGACTGTTTGACTGTATGACTGTATGACTGTATGACTGTTTGACTGTATGACTGTACGACTGTACGACTGTACGACTGTACGACTGTTTGACTGTTTGACTGTTTGACTGTTTGACTGAACGACTGTATGACTGTTTGACTGTTTGACTGAACGACTGTATGACTGTTTGACTGTACGACTGTTTGACTGTTTGACTGTTTGACTGAACGACTGTATGACTGTTTGACTGTTTGACTGTATGACTGTATGACTGTTTGACTGTATGACTGTTTGACTGTTTGACTGTATGACTGTATGACTGTTTGACTGTATGACTGTTTGACTGTACGACTGTACGACTGTTTGACTGTATGACTGTTTGACTGTTTGACTGTATGACTGTATGACTGTACGACTGTTTGACTGTATGACTGTTTGACTGTATGACTGTATGACTGTACGACTGTTTGACTGTTTGACTGTTTGACTGTATGACTGTACGACTGTTTGACTGTATGACTGTTTGACTGTATGACTGTTTGACTGTTTGACTGTATGACTGTTTGACTGTATGACTGTACGACTGTTTGACTGTATGACTGTTTGACTGTATGACTGTATGACTGTTTGACTGTATGACTGTTTGACTGTATGACTGTATGACTGTATGACTGTATGACTGTTTGACTGTATGACTGTACGACTGTTTGACTGTTTGACTGTTTGACTGTACGACTGTTTGACTGTTTGACTGTTTGACTGTACGACTGTTTGACTGTATGACTGTATGACTGTTTGACTGTACGACTGTTTGACTGTATGACTGTACAACTGTTTGACTGTATGACTGTATGACTGTTTGACTGTATGACTGTACAACTGTTTGACTGTATGACTGTATGACTGTATGACTGTTTGACTGTATGACTGTTTGACTGTATGACTGTATGACTGTTTGACTGTATGACTGTACGACTGTTTGACTGTATGACTGTATGACTGTTTGACTGTATGACTGTATGACTGTTTGACTGTATGACTGTATGACTGTACGACTGTTTGACTGTTTGACTGTATGACTGTACGACTGTTTGACTGTTTGACTGTATGACTGTACGACTGTTTGACTGTATGACTGTATGACTGTACGACTGTTTGACTGTTTGACTGTTTGACTGTATGACTGTACGACTGTTTGACTGTATGACTGTTTGACTGTATGACTGTATGACTGTTTGACTGTACGACTGTTTGACTGTTTGACTATTTGACTGTATGACTGTACGACTGTTTGACTGTATGACTGTATGACTGTACGACTGTTTGACTGTATGACTGTTGACTGTATGACTGTATGACTGTACGACTGTTTGACTGTTTGACTGTATGACTGTACGACTGTTTGACTGTATGACTGTTTGACTGTTTGACTGTTTGACTGTTTGACTGTTTGACTGTATGACTGTATGTTGAGTCTGTGTTTAAGTTTTTTCTGATCTGATTCAGATTTGGATTTATCTGCAGCTCCAGTTTCACCACCTGTGCAAAGACCAAATCCCAGTGTGTCAGTTTGTGTGTGTGTGTGTGTGTGTTTCAGTGTGTGTGTGTGTGTGTGTGTGTGTGTGTGTGTGTTTCAGTGTTTGAATGTTCAGAAACTTTGACTGAGTATTAGATGATCTCAGCTGAAAGAGGAAACCCAGAACCTCTCTGTTTCTGCTGGTTTATTCCCTCACACCGTCAGTGACACTCACCCAGCTGTGAGTGTGTGTGTGTGTGTGTGTGTGTGTGTGTGTGTGTGTGTGTGTGTGTGTGTGTGTGTCTGTGTGTGTGAGAGTGTGTTGACAGACTAAAAATAACCTGGTGTTGTGCTGAGCAAACAGTCCTCCATCAGACAGAGTCCCAGCAGAGCTGAGCTGCTGCTTCAGCAAACAGAGTCAGCATCCTCGTCGGAGAACCACCGGAACAACAGTACTACCGATACTACTGATAATACTACTGATACTACTGATAATACTACTGATAATACTACTGATACTACTGATACTACTGATACTACTGATACTACTGATAATACTACTGATAATACTACTGATACTACTGATAATACTGATTATACTACTGATACTACTGATTATACTACTGATACTACTGATAATACTACTGATACTACTGATAATACTACTGATACTACTGATACTACTGATTATACTACTGATACTACTGATAATACTACTGATAATACTGATACTACTGATAATACTACTGATACTACTGATTATACTACTGATAATACTGATACTACTGATAATACTACTGATAATACTACTGATAATACTGATACTACTGATAATACTACTGATACTACTGATTATACTA